CCATTCCCAATTTTCTTATAATATCAAGTCTCTTCCATTCAGTTCTCTCTCTCTCTCTCTGTGTGTGTGTGTGTGTGTGTTTGTGTCTCTCTCTCTGTCTCACACCCATACCCACACACACAATACTAAGTCCCCTGGAGAGAGTAAAACAAATTTATAATCACTACAGGCTGATTAATTGGGCTGTTAATATTGAGGCCGAAATTGTTATTTGCCTGCCACGTATCTTTCCCTCCTTCCTTATCAAGAGAATGAATTTGGTTTGAAACATCTATGAATCCAGTTTAAAAGCTATGTTTCTCCAGCCTCCTCCCTTGCTGCTATGAATAGTCATATAACAGTTCCAGACAATTAGATATATAGGAATATGTTTTCTAAGGATTTATGAGAACTTTTTAAAATTTATTTTTTGTTGAGAGAGAGGGTCTTGCTCTGTTGTCACGTAGGCTGGAGAGCAGTGGCATGATCATGGCTCACTGCATCCTTGAACTCCTGGGCACAAACAATTCTCCCACCTTAGCCTCCCAAGTAACTGGAACCACAGGCATGAACCACTATGCCTGGCTTTTTGTTGTTGTTGTTGTTAGAGATAGGAACTCTTTATGTTACCCAGGCTGGTCTCAAATTTCTGGGCTCAAGCCATCCTCCCACCTTGGCCTCCCAAAGTCCTGGGATTGTAGGTGTGAGCTACAATGACCAGCTTTCTTTCTTAATATAGACTCTACCCCTTTCTCCTTGTCCCTTCATATATCCTACCTGAAATACAGAAATGTTAGCTGGATATTAGCTGTATGCTACCATCAGAATGGGTTCAGAAATAATCCTTTTAAAGTTCATATTGATCATTCATGCTTCTCCTAGTATGGAGAACTGCTGCAATTTAGGATGCTTTGTTTAAAATGTAAAAGAGACTTGAATCCTAGATACTATGATGTAACAACTGGAAAATCTATACTGAAGTTTCTCTTGGCTCTGTGAGTAGAAGAAAAAGTATGTGATCTAATCTTAAGGTGAAAAATAGAATCAATCATAGCACCAACATAATGAAATTTACTCCCCCCTACAAATTAAATCCTCTCAGTTCTCTAATTTAATTTTTAAATGACAATTGGCAAAAACATAATATATGCTTTTAAATTGCTTCAACTGCAAAGATGAAAGGCAGGCAAAGACAGCTTGGTGACCACCAAAATTGATGTTTCCTTCTAGGAAGTGGCTGCCCAGTTAGGGGAATGTCTCAGCCTTCCATTGCATCTAGCGGGGCTATGTGACTGTTTCTCACCATTGAAATATGAACTAGTCATGTGTGTCACTTCTGGGCTGAAGAGGTAGGTGTAATCCTTCATGATGTCTTTTTCCATCATCAGCTGACTCTGAGTACCTAGAAGCAAGAGGTGCCACAAGACTGAAGAATCGCCCGAATCCATAAATGATCACATGGAAGGCCACCTGCCAACTGGGAACAACCACGTAGAATTTCTCTTGAGCAAGAAATACAATTTCATTGTACCAAGCCACCAAGATTTGGGAGTGTGTTTGTTGCTGAAACAAGGGTTATTCCAATTAATATAAAGGGCAAAAATAAAAATCTTGCATTTTAGTGGATTCAACATGAAAGGACTGAAAAAGCATGAATGTCATTCAGTGAGCTCACAAATAATTAAATAAGATTTTCCATAATTAGGTAAAAATAATAGAAACCAAATTAATTTATAAGAAAATGAAGAAAGTTAATCTTTTGTTCTATCTTGAGTTTGTGACTTACAAAATCTATACCTGCCAGTTACTGAGTATTTTTTAATGTTGCAGTTGCCAATTAGTCTGGATATAGTCTGATTTTCGACAAAGAATTGTCCATATTTATTTCTCTAAGAGGGTGAAATGAATACTATGTTCTATGAAGCTTTTTAGTGGAGTAGAGCCTAATTTAATATGCAACTGGTTTTGAACAGGATATTCCAAGGTGACGTCGATCTGGATTCAGAAGTCAACTATCTTCCATAGAAAAATTGGGTTTAATAGACACTAAGAAGACCATCATTTGTTCCTCTAAAATTACAGACCTGCTATTCCAGCCTGCCCATAAACATTCTCCAAGTCTAAAGTAAAGTTTTTGGATAGAGGGACTATGATGTTCTAGGACCTTTCAAATTATTTCTTGTGCCAATGTGAAGAACAGGCTCTGGTCTATAGAGGCATTCTTGAGACTGAATTGGGAGAACTTACAAAAACCTTCCATGGACCAGCCAGGGGGAGCCACATGCTATTCAGGGTAGCTGATTCCAGCAAGATAACAAGTGGAACCGAAAGGAAAATAAAACAAAACAAAAACAAACAAACAAACAAAAAAAACCTCATGAAAGGCTTCTTTTCTAAATTAGTGAGATACAATTTTGCTTAATAATTGAAGAGATTCCAAAGGTTGGAGCTTTAATTTGGTGCCTATCTATTCTCCCAGGCAGAATCTTTTCAGAAAAAAACTTCAGACAACCTTATTTTGTAGGGTAAATATGAGATGAAATAGGGCATGGGATTCTTTTCATTTTTCATTATGAAAAGTCTGTCTACAGTTTTCTCTTCGCATCTATCTCACTACAGTATAGTTATAAACCCATCTGTTTCCCAAGTAACATTCTATTCTAAAAGTAGGATATTTTTTCCATAGAAAGCTCAGATATAAAATGAGGAGACTTTTTGCTCTTTAGGAATACAAATCAGCTTAGACTAACTAAGCACACTGAAGTTTTAAAGATTTTACCAGTAACCAAAACCAGTAACCAAAATTTTTAAAGATTTTACCAGTAATCCATGTTAATGGAAAATGGATATGGGGGAAACACATCCTTTATCTTAAAAACAGAACCCCAACTGTATTTAGGGGTGGCAATGGGCTCAGCTAAAAACACAGTGATTCTAGATTCTCTTCCAGGAGGGAGTGGGCATTTTTCACAGTTGTGACCCATAGGCTATAAGTTAAAATCTCTAGGGGTTTGGGAAAGCTCTTGGAGAAAGCTAATTTAGCTGGTATATGTCTTACGCCTCTTGTTCTTCCTATCCTTCTCCCTGGCATGTAGTTAGGTTGCTGGAAGTGAGGCAGCCATCTCAAGACCATGAGGCAACAAATAGAAGGATGAAAGTCACAAGCTGAGGATGTTTGAGAGGAAGAAAAATGAGCTTAGGTCTCTGAGGACTGTGAAATCCTACCTTCAGACTAATGTCACTTAAGAAAAACAAACTTCTATTTTGGCTAAGCTAGTATATGTTTGATTATCTCTTATAAGCAGCCAAAGCTATACCAAGTTGATCCAATTAGAAGAATGTGCCAAAAAATTCTTTTAACCACTTCCAAACATGCATTTCAGAAGCATTCATTTACTTTGGCAATTATTAAACTGATATATATTAGTAAAACATTTTTATACACTTCTTAAAATGACTCCTCCAAATAACTCTACTAGGCCATACTGTATGCACTTCCCATACAGGGACACATTATGAATACTTTTCATCCCTCCATTTATTCATTCAGCAAACACTTATTGGAGGCCCAGGAAGCATTGTGCTAGGGGCAGGGATGCAAGAATGAAAAACACACACCTGATTACAAAAGGCTTAGTTTATTTGAAAAGAATAAGACAGAATATTTTTTAAAAACATTCTATTTTCCAGTTCTTTGTTTCCTGTGGGTTGTTTGTTTCACATACATTAACTCTCCAAGGGATAGAGAAGTCTAGCACCATAATCAACATTAATAAAATAAAAGGATATGAGCCAACAGCATGGTGTACATAGCTTAATGTTCAGAACAAAATTTTATCATTGAATATTTAATTAAATGTTGCACCAATGTGTTCATTACTATTGTGAGAAATAACTGAAGAAAGTTTCTCATTCCAATCAGTACAGAACTTGTTTTCCCAAAATCAGACTACTGCTAAAAGCAGATATTTAGTACTACTCCACTTTTTTTTCTGTCATTTGTATGATATTAAAAAATCACTGTACATCAAGCCTTTACTCCAGTATCAAAAGACAATTATTCATTGCAGTATGGGTGACAAAATAACAAGTCAGTGTCAGGAAAACCATTTTTCACTCACCTCTTCCTCTGTGTCAGGCATATCATCTAACTTCTTTCTACCTCAGTTTCCTTACGCGTTAAGTAATGGGTTTGAATTAGATCACTGTGTTCCCTCATAGACCTAAATTCTCTTATTTCCTCACTCTACTTAGTGTGATGCATTAGCAGATAGGCTTCCCAGCTAAGAGAAGAACATTAAGATTATTTTTAAATGATGCATGGTTCCTTCTCTATTTCTGTTACCTCAGGAATTACACATATTAGCCCACAACTCATATCAAGTCACAATTTTATATATAATTAAATAATATAATGTAATCTTATATTAATAATACCATATCACCATACTCAGAATCAGAATAGAAGACTGGTTTTATTATTTCCAGCTTTTCAAAGCATACCTTGCATTGCACACATTTGGGATAATTGAAAGAAAATTAGGTGGAGAGTACATTGTTTTACATTTGCTGTTTAAAGTATCCCCCAGATATCTAGGAGTAAGTCTAATGCAGATTATCTCAAAAGCACAGCGATCCTCTTGCTCCATCATAAGAAATTATTTTCAAAGTCTAAAAGAAGATTGATTACATGCAAAATCTGAAAGCTAAAATTAAGATCTTATTTTTCAGTGTAGACAATAGAAGTAATTAATTAAGACATCTGACATTTATCTGCAACCCACCATAGGCGGATATCTGCTTATCTTATTACTTGCATAAGAATTTCAGAAGTTGAAATACATTAAACACAACCAGTTTAACCCATCGCATTCTGAATTTATATCCTATTACCTTGCTCACAAACAAGATATTTAAGGAACATAAACACCGTTTACAAATCCTTTAGTTATCATCCTGCAAAACAACTCATACCCCCAATAATTATCTCATTACATATACACATATTTCCCTCTACTCACCACAATGAGTTAAAGGTAGACAAAAGCCCTCGGTGATGGTCTTTGAGTTATTACTTTGCTTTACCAGTTCCTTCATTCTGGGTGTCGTGGTACAGGACTTTACTGATAGCAATTCACTCTTGTTAGGTTTACTGCAAACACTGAAAGAGGTGTCTTGCACTTGCTGGAAGACTTAGCTTTTATGCTTCTGGTCATTCTTCCCACAAAAAGAATGAGACCAGTTTCTGAGCTATTCTTAACTCTCCTTCCAAAATATTTCAAAAGAGGAAGACAAGAAAGACTTCATGATTTCCATGCAAACTCCCAGCCTGCCTGGCTGCCTGCTGCTGCCAATACTTCTTGCTCTTGCTGGTGATGACATTCAGAGAGCTCCCCAGCACTGGTGCTTCGTTATGTAAGGCTGTCTAGGTCAAGTGTAGGAGACACACTGCTGGCCTGTGGAAACTCATGGAACTGTTCCTCCAGATTAACACTTCAGGGGTTATGGAAGCTGGAGGAAGCTGAGCTTTTACTACATCTTTTGGGGGTAAATATTTTTGCATGTTTCAGCGGTTTATGTACTACAGTCTTGGCAGATGCCTGTCAGCCATGCTGAGAGTTGCAGGGAGAAATTACTGAGATTACAGTTTTGTCAGCATGCTTGAATAAGCATAGTAAGTCTTCCAGTAATCCTGGCTTTGAGACACTTAAGGAGAAAATAAATCATAAATTCAAATTTGCTTATCGGACATCCTCTGTAACCATCAAGGAATGAATGTTGATTTGATGTTTAAACTCTGAATACAATTTATTTGATTGGAGATGTTGTAGGAGAGCATTATTAGATGTGGATATTAGCTCAAAGATATTTACTGCAGTTCTTGTTATGTTGCCCTTGTCTCTGAATGCAAATTTGCTTCCCTTGTGAGTTATATGTATGCCTGTATGTGTCTTCTGTTGTGATTGTTTGTAATCGTATAAGAAAAAAACTGACAGTTAGGTGACTTCAACAAATAATGAATCCTGCCTACTTAGTTCCAAGGTGAATACTGCAGCAAAAGCGCCATTCAACACTAGCACTGAAGGAGGGTGGATTAACTGCATTGGCTCAAACTGTATTGTGTTTAGGAGACTTGAAGGGACGATTCCAGGTTTGATATGAACAGTTGTTCACTCTCTGGGTAAAAGTAGAAACAATATAGCACTGATTCTGTTTTAGACTCTCACACTCTGTCCTGCCTCAGCAATTAGTTAAAATAGCTGGCTCTTTATTGAATGCTGCAGAAAAGCCTGGAGAGGTAGCAGAGTAAGATTGCTGCAGCAGAGTGATATATTGGCCAGGAATTTTAATAAGATTTAACCAGATACGATAATACAACAGATGGCATCTAATCTAAAAGATAGATGGATATTTAAAAAGTTGAAGAAATAAGATTTAACCAGATACCATAATACAACAGATGGCATCTAATCTAAAAGATAGATGGATATTTAATAAGTTGAAGACAAATGCAGCACATTTGAGAGGGTTTATCTTCCTATGCGTCCTTGGCAAGCGAAGTTCAGTACCTTGGACAGGATGACATGAGTTAGTCTGCATAAACTGTCTACATGATCTCAAAGAGCAAAATGGAAAGTTAACTATGAATCATTTGTTTTGGTGTCTCTCAGTGATGACTGGCATGAAGCAGGTTACTTAGCACATACTTTCTAGGTAAACAGATAGATTTAAAGTATCTAAAATTTCTTGCATTTTAAAAATTAAATTAAAGGAATGAAAATGAGTGATAGAAAAATAAATTTCCTTGAATAATTTTCATTCTATAATTAACCATATTAACAGCAGCACATTGATTATTTATGATGAAAATATACCACTTAGAATTGTATGCTGTATTTAGTTGATTAAACATGTACATGCTTTCCCAAATAATTTAAAGAGACAATTATGGTCCCTCAGGGCCTGATTTTATATTACTGATGTCAATAGGCATTTTCCCTAGACATAGCTTGAGATAAGGGCCCCATTAGACCAGGTTTTACTCAGTTTAGCATTTAGACTATTCCTCATAAGTTAAAAATGATGGATACATACTTAATTGTACTTATAATCTTTGAGTTTATGTATCTTTCAGATAACAATGTCAGTATTCAAATTGTCTGTAATTGATTTGCATTTAATATTGTTTCTATTGGCTATTGCCAAAAGGGATTCTTCTTTGTGGTAATCAACTTAAAATATATTATTTTTTTCATTTTAAAATGGGGAATTTGAATTAAATGAAGTTTAAATTAGTTTTGATCCTACCATATGTATTTTTGTATTCCTCTAAGTGGGAATTAGCATTATTAATTAATCTATGCTAAAGTGAGATTACATTTTTTGGTGAGATTATGTTGTTTGAATACTTATAATATTAAGCCAAAATTTACTAAGTACCTACTAAATTCTAGGACAGTGGTTTTCAAAGTGGGGTCTCCTAACCAGCAACATCAGTACTACCTGGGAACTTGCTAGGAATGCAGATTTTGGGGCCTCGCAACAGACTTACTGAGTCAGAAGCTCTGGGGATGTGTCCTGGCAATCTGTGTTTGTATAAGCCTTTCCTCCAGGTGATTGTGAGGCGTGCTAAAGTCTGAGAACCACTGGTGCTGGAAAGTAAATTGGTTAAATATTATAAAAATGGTTTTTACTATATATAGTTAAATACATAGTCATTAAGTTTTCTATGTTCATCTTTGTCTAGATAGCCTACTGTAAGCAGTACTATGTTTTTAATATTTATGCAATTATTTAGTATATCTTAAGTCTAAATATGTCCATAAGAAGGTCTATTTTCCAACAGTTCCATTTTAGAACTTCAGCTCTTAGAAGTTAAATAGTCTAATGGGAAAAATACTAGAGGCCTTATCTGTTTGCTCACTGTGTGATTTGGCACACATTGCTGACCCTCTTTTATGTTCAGCTTCTCATTTATTAAGATGGGAGGTTGGCTTACATCAGGGTTTCTCAACTCAGTACTATTGACATTTGGGTCAGATATTCTTCGCTGTGGGGTCTGTCCTGGGCATTGTGGAATTTTGAGCAGGATCCTTGCCTCTACACACAAAGTGCCCATAGAAACCCTCAGTTGTGATGATCAAAGATATTTCCAGACATTGATACCTTTCTCTCAAAAGCAAAACTGACCTCCTCCTCATTTGAGAACCACTGACCTAGATTAGCTCACCTATGAAAAGTTCCATCATCATAAATAATACAACAAACATACCATTTATCCTTTTGGAAGTAGGTAGGTTAAAACTTATAAATAAATGAAGATATGTTTTACGTGTATAACTCAGGTATAAGGTGGGACCTGTTTGCCCCCTTGAAGATCTAGGTGATGATCTATTGGTAGATATCTATTGGTGGATATCTTGCTCAGATGTCTACCAATACCACAGTCAGTGGAAGTCCAAAACCTTCTGCAACTTCTCAGTGACTTAAAGTCTTACATCATCCTCTGTGTCTTGGCATCTTGGTTTCATGTATACTCTCAAGTGACCCTGTGTCTGTCACTAGTTTTTAACAGAGACTTACCTACACCAATCACCTTTTCAATTTAATAAATGCTAGTAAAGATGTGGTCTTCTATTGCCTTTTCTCCCTTCCCCATCCCATCTCTGCTCCTCATCCCCACTCTGAGAGATCTGAACACTCCAAATTTTTCTCTTCTTAGTATGGAAAGCAGTCCATCTCTCCACAGCTCTTATATCCAGATGTAGATGTCCAAACTCATCAAAGAGTTTAGAAGATAAAGGGCCTTCAGTTTAGAACCATTCACCATACATAGAAGGCAGTTGGGGTCATATTGTATAATCAAAAAGTTATAAAACCATAGGCTGTTGGAAGGAATATTGAATTAAAGTTCATTTTCATGTCTTTAGCCTTAAAATTACAAATGTTACAAGCTAGAGTCTCAGAATTTTAAATTATACCTTTCCATGAATTTTTACCTAAACCACTTGGCAATTTAGTATGACATTTTCTGGACCTGATATGTGCAATAGAAGTAGACAAACCTCACACACATGCATGCACGCCTACACACACACATACACACACACACACACACAAAATTTTTTCCCAACAGTTAAAGATTCTTTTCAATATACTATTCTACAATTCAAATTAGGTGTTATTCTGAGATATATATGGATTAAGGAACCTAATATAAGATATAGGTAGCTATATTTCTGCTAAAATAATAATACCTCATACTTGAATGACTATATCTGTATTTTCAAGTAATTTAAAAAACATGATCCTGGCCGGGCGTGATGGCTCATGCCTGTAATCCCAGCACTTTGGGAGGCTGAGGCGGGCAGATCAGGAGGTCAGGAGATCGAGACCATCCTGGCTAACATGGTAAAATCCCGTCTCTACTAAAAATACAAAAAAATTAGCCTGGCATGGTGGCAGGCACCTGTGGTCCCAGCTACTTGGGAGGCTGAGGCAGGAGAATGGTGTGAACCCCAGAGGTGGAGCTTGCAATGAGCCTAGATCGCGCCACTGCACTCCAGCCTGGGCGACAGGGCGAGACTCCATCTCAAAAAAAAAAAATTACTTAGGCCGGCGCGGTGGCTCACGACTGTAATCCCAGCACTTTGGGAGGCCAAGGCTGGCGGATCATGAGGTCAGGAGTTTGAGACCAGCCTGACCAACATGGTGAAACCCCATCTCTACTAAAAAATACAAAAATTAGCTAGGCATGGTGGTGCGCGCTTGTAGTCCCAGCTATTCAGGAGGCTGAGACAGGAGAATCGTGTGAACCCGGGAGGCGGAGGTTGCAGTTAGCCGAGATCGCGCCACCGCACTCAAGCCTGGGCGACAGAGCGAGACTCTGTCTCAAAAAACCAAAAACCATGATCCTTTCTGAGACTCGTAGCAACTCTAAGAGACAGGCCCCATTATCTCTGTCATTTTGCAGTAACAAAATAAAGGCTCAAGGTCTCCAAATGCCAAATTCACTTCTTGTTCCACTATCCTACAAAGCAAAACTCAATAGTTCATGTAGTTTGAACACATTGGTGAGTATAATTTCTAAGTGATTTTTTATAAAGACCTGTCTCAAGAGTCTTCATGCTCTAAGACCTTCAGAGATATTAGCAATGCTTTGCTTTATTCCTAGGATTAATGCATTTACCTGGCTTATACATTTATTCGTATGATATGCTTAATTAATTTTCCTGTATATGTATTACAGAATGATTTTAACACACTATTATACTAGTCATAGTCACATGCATTCCATCACTTAGTGCCCTCAAAAAACTCCATGGGAATAGGATTATTTCCCTCTTAAGAGGGAATAATTCAAACAGAAGATTGAATTAAATTTACCTATACTTGAGCTTTATCAGAAGTACTACACTGATGACCCAGCCAACTTCTCTGTTTTCATCAACAAAAATGCAGAACATAGCAACACACCATCTCTTTTCACTGGTACCCTCTAGTGCTTGACATATAGAGAGTGTCAGTAACTTTTATTGAAGAAATA